CCCCCCCGGGGGGGTTGGTTCTTTTGGGGGGGGGGGGGGTGAGGTTCCCAGATGTCTGGGTCCCCTTACTATGCCCCCCACCCCCCCCCAGATTTATGGGAGCAGCACCCCGAGACGGCAGCGCTGGCGGCACTGCAGGAGCAAGGGGACCCGGGTGTCCGGAGCTCTGCCCCCCCCGGGGAGGAGTCAACCGAGGAGGAGGAGGAGGAGGAGGAGGGTGAGAGTGGTGAGGAGGTGGAGCCTGGGGAAGCCACACCCCCTGCCAGCACCGCCCCCAACCCTTTTGCTCTGCTGGGAGAGGATGAGTGTTAGCGCTGTCCCTCAGGGGTGGAGCCAAGGGGAGGTCCAGCCCCATATTGTTACACTAATACCATATATAGAATAAAGTGAGGTTTATTTCTGCAGCTGGTGGGGTTTTTTTTTTTCTGATTGGTTAGAGGCAGCTTCTGCAGGAACCAATCAGAAGCCACATCTCCATGCTGTTGTCGGGTAGGGCTTATACTGGGCCGTGCTCTGGGCTGGGCCCTGCAGAAATCATGTCACAGCACTACCCTGATAGCCCCACCCCCTTCCTTAACCCCCCCCCCCCATTACTTGCATTTAGCCCCGCCCCTGATAGTAGCCCTGCCTAATTAACTTCATTCTGCAATTAGCCTTGCTGGGGTTAAGGTACCCCACTCTCTAGACTTGGCTCCACCTCCACCCCTGGAGTTGGCTCCACCGCCACCCCTTAGCCCCACCCCCTAGATTGGCTTTAACAGGGCTAGCCCCTCCCCTTCTTAGCACAAGTCCCTTCTCCCCCAGACCCCGCCCCTTTCCCCAGGCCCCTCCCCTTCACTGACCGGTGGGCGTGGCCTGGCCGGGGGGGCGGAGCTCCTGCTGGCAGAGATAACGCCGGCAGCGGCCGCAGCACCGACATCGCAGCACCCTCCGGGGCTGCCCCCGCCCTGCGGGAGGGACCCAAGTGTCTGGCTCAGCCCCCCACAACCCCTCTGGGTGTCCCCAACACCACTGGGGGGGGTCACCCAGGGCCCCCCCCACCCAATGACCCACCTCGCAGGCGCAGGTAGCCCGCAGCCCCGGGCAGCAGCAGGGAGCAGCAGCGGCGGCACACGGCCCGCTTCACCGAGGGGGCCCTGGTGGGGGGGACAGGGGACACAACACAAAGTGTGTGGGGGGTCCCCCTGGGACACACC